AAAACTACATAACAAAGAGAAAGCAATTAAATAAAACCTACATAATTGGAAAAAAGATATCCCATGTTTCTGGATGTTAACATTTTTAAGACGGCAATTTTTCCCAAATCGATCTACAGATTCATTACAATATCTATCAAAATCCCAGCTGCACTTGCAAAAATTGACAGACTACTCCTTGCAAAAATTGACAGACTACTCCTAAAATTCATATAGAAGTAAAAGAAACCCAGAATACCCAAATAACACTGAAAAAGAAAACCAAAGGACTCATACTTCCCCATTTCAAAAGTTAATACAAAGTAACAGTAATTGAGACATTATTATGCAGGCGTAAGGACACATATATGGAATAAAATTGAGAATCTGGAAACAAATCCTTTCATTTATGTTCAACCGATCTTTGAAAAGACTGTCAAAACAATTCAATGGGAAAGAAGAGTCTTTTTAACAAATGGTTCAGGGAAATTGGTATTCACACCTAAAATAAATGAAACTGGACACCTACCTCACACCACATACAAAAATTAACTCAAAATGGGCCACAAACTAAATGTAAGAGCTGAAATTATATAATTCTTAGGAAAAAAACAGGAGTAAATCTGTGTCACCCTGTGTTAGGCAACATTTTCTTAGATATGACATCAAAAGCACAAGCCCTGCATCTGCATCTGGCTCCCTGCCTCTCCCTCTCCCTCTGCCTGGTGCTCCCCCTGCTTGTGCTCTGTCAAATAAATAAAATCTTAAAAAAAAAAAAAAAAAAAAAAGCATAGGCAAAACAAGAAAAAGGATAAATTAGACTTCATCAAAATTAAGACTTTTGTGCATCACAGGACATCATCAAGTGAAGGAACAACCCCACGAACAGGAGAAAATAATTGCAAACCACACACCTGATAAGGGACTTATATCCAAACCACATAAACAATGCTTACAACTCAACAGTGAAAACATAAATAATCCAATTTTTTAAATGGGCAAAGGACCTGAATAGACAGTTCTCCAAAGAAGGTATAAAAAGGCCAATAACTACATGGAAAAGATGCTCAACATCATTAGTCATCAGGATAATGCAAATCAAAACCAGAATGAGATACCACTGCATACCCACTAGGATGCTTATAACCAAAAAGACAAATATTGGTAAGGATGTAGAGAAACTGAGCCCTCATAATTGCTGATGAGACTGTAAAAAGGTGCAGGCTCTTTGGAAAACAGTTTGGCAGTTTCTCGAAATGTTAAATACAGAGGTGTCACCTGACCCCGCAATTCCACTCCTGGATATGTATCCAAGAGAAATGAACCACACATCCACACAAATCCTGTAAATGAACATTCACTGCAAATAAAAAACTATTAACAGCAGAAAGTGGAAACAACCAAATGCCCATCAACTGATGAATGGATTAACAAAATGAAATATATATCCATATAATGAAACATATTTTGGCCAAAAAAAAGGAATGATACATGCTATAACATGGATGTACCTGAAAACATTATGCTAAACGAAAAAGACACAAAAGGCCACATATTATATGGTTCCATTTATGTGAAATGTCCAGGATATGCAAAATATAAACACAGAAGATTGGTTAGTGGTTGCCAGGGGTAGTGGGAGGGAATAATGGAAAGTGACTGCTAATGGTTACAGATTTTCATTTTGGGCTGATGAAAATGTTCTGAAATTGGATAATGGTGATGGTTGCACAACTCTGTGAATATACTAAAAAAATCAGTAAATTGTACCTTAAAAGGGTACAAACGTGAGTTACATACATATAAATGACATATGCATTACCTCAATAAAGTTATTATTTAAAAGTATACAGTTAATATATGTAAATTTTACCTAAAAAGCTTTTTAAAATAATAAAAACAATGGAGAGGAGTGGAGAATGCATAGAGATACAGATGAAACAAGCATAGATACAAAAAAGTTTATTATACTATTCCGTTCACTTTGTATATATTTCTAAATTTTCCTTAACAAAAAGGTTTTTTAACTGATGTATTAAAAAAACAAGTAATTTTTTTAAAAATAACAAAGTAATCTACTTTCTTAACATCCATTTTTGTTGTTGTTTGACAAAGGAAACAGAATCATATATTAAAAGATCAGAGAAGGGGCACCTGGGTGGCTCAGTCTTTGGATTAAGCCTCTGCCTTGGCTCAGGTCATGATCAGGGTCCTGGTAGGAAGCCCTGAGTTGGGTTCCGCACTCAGTGGGGAGTCTGCTTCTCCCTCTCCCTCTGTCGCATCTCCCCCCACTCCCATCTCATCCCCTCATGCTTGAGCGCAAATAAATAAAATCTTAAAAAAATAATAAAAGATCAGAGAAGTTGCTACCTTCTTCATTCTTTTGCAGAGATATAACAGAAGACTAGGTATGAGGCAAAAATGAAGAATACTTCATCTTAAAAATGTACAAAGAGAATTTCAATCCTTAGTTCCAAGATATTTCCTTACCCTTGGGTTCCCGTGGTTTCCATGGTTATTAGATGTGACAATTCCTAATAAATGGATGCAATAACCCCTAATACTATGCTGTCTAATACAGCAGCCACTAGCTACATATGGCCATTTAAAACTTAGTTTCAATGAGTTGAATTAAATTATAAATCCAGTTCTCAGTCACACCAGCTACATGTGTAGTGTTCAGCATCCACATGCGGCTTTGGCTACCATATTGGATAGAGCAGATACAGATCACTGCCATCCGTGCAGAAAGTTCTACTGAATAGCACTACACCAATACATAAAAAATACCCACAGAGAAACTTCTACATTCTAATTTAGGATTGTTATACTGCATTTTACTGCAATAAACAAATCCTGAAAAACAAGGAAAACAAAGCATAAAAATATCAACCAAAGAATATCATTCATGGAAGTTCAGACTAACTAAAACAGCAGTTAAATTTTACTTTTCGAACCACCCAGCTACAGATGTTGGCCATGACAACTCCTCAGGGGCAAATTTCCCTATCTGTTAAAATAGATTATTACTGTATCACCAGTTTCCTAAAGTCAGATATAAAGATTATGCTGAAATAAGAATAAAGCAAATTACCCTTTCAGTCAAGGATCTAATGAAAGGTATATTTATAAATCAATGACATCAAAGAATTTATGACCCATAGCAAAATACACAGAATAAAATCCCTTTCCAAACTGAGCTTTGAGGCAACCAGCATAATTAAAAAGATCATTAAATATATTTTGTTTCATCTAGAAAAAAAGTTTAACCAGATGATTTCTATACTTCTATTCTAAAATTGTGTGTGCATTTCATCCTGATTAGGTATAGATTTCCGTTAATGCCATTAACACGAATATGCAGCATCAGGAAACAGGTGCACTCTTAATTCAAATATTTTAGAATATTTTTAGCACTTAAAAAAAAACTGAAGGTGAGCAAACAAAATGTGAATTCGAATATATTTTTATATTTAGGAACCTAAAAAAACAAAAATAGAATTTCACCTTGTATTCCCTCTCAAGCTATCACTGCAAATGGTTGGAGTGTGAATAACATTCTAAATATCAAGAATGGAATGCTCTATGTTAAAGAAATTTAAAATCTTTCCTTGCCAAAACTACTGGACACCTAAAGCTGTTAGTCAAAATGGCTCCATGTAAAGCATTTTCAAACCTTTGAAAAGTCACTTAAGAATATAAGTACATTTTACTTTACCCTCATAAAATACTTTCAGATTCAGTCTTTGCAATCTACTGCCCAAAACAAAACAAAAAAGGAATTCTCAAGAAAAAATGAAAACATGGAAATTGAAGCCAGCGTGCAGGCAACGTATACAGAAGAGTCACATGGAATCGATGTTGAAGGAGAAAGTTACTCTACCGGAGCATCTGGAGTCAAATTAAATCGGGCACTATTTACATATTTCTAGTTCTGTACTGACCTCACATGGTGCTTTCTGACGTTATACACAGGCCTGCCTAGGTCTGCATATTTTTATTTGTAAATGGTTCTAACTTTTAACATTTAACATTAATTAACATTAATAAATAATTAATGTTAATTAACATTAACAAAGTTAAATGTTTTAAAGAATAGAATAACATTCCATATCCCTTTTTCCATTGTTCACGAACCCTCTCTGTTCGTCAAATCACCCCGATAAATCCATCTGTTCCCTCTAGTTGCTTCCAAAGAAAAATTCTAGCAACCAAAGACACCAGATTGTAAAACACACACTCAGAGTTAAGAGTTCTGGCACTACCAAAATATGTTAAGAAATCTTGGCAAATCAGTTAAAATCCCTTGAACCGTAATTACCTTAGTTGTAAAAATGAATAATACATATCTACATCCGAGGAGGGATGAGCTAGATTTCATTGTGCGCTCCAAATATAAGGTGTCTCTCTGCCATCTCACTTTCCCTCCCTTCTCCCCTTTAAAGCTTTCAGGGTTTGCTTCCAGGCTCCACTTAGTGTTTCCCTTATCCACGTACTCCATCCTGCCCTTCTACTCTAGCCCCTTACTCCAATTCCATACAATTCCACCACCCTCTGGTTCCAAGCTGCTACTTCCCTTTGCGCCCCCTAAGGTCCCAGGCAGCCCCTTCACTCAGCTCCCCACGTCTCCCTCAGTCCGCATTTCCTAACGGCTCCTCCCCTCGGTTCCCCACCCCCTCATCACCAGGTTCATCCTGCCCCTCCAACCGTCTCCCGCCCCCAGGTTCCTTCCTGCCCCTCCAAACACAGCTTCCCCGTCTCAACGTTTCATCTTGGTCCTCCAACCGACTTCCCCAATGCCTTGCTCGCTCCCTATTTTCTCCAAAACCTAAATGACTACTCCATTCTATCCATTCTTTTCAACATATACATAAATGCAAGGGACCCACATACACACACTGGAGATCCCACCCCCACTTCGATCCTCCATCTTTCCCTTTTATACTTGCTTCCATTCTTCCTTCTCCCCCCCGCCCCCACCTCCTCCGGAAGAGCCTGGTTCCCAGGCCAAGGTCTCTCACCTCATTCGGTCACTTCAGTGGTGCCAACCGCTTCATACAGGAAAAAACAACCAATCACGTCCCCTTGGGCGCTTCCTCTGCGAGTCCAAGCACTACTGGGCACCCGCCCCACCGGGCACCCCGAACACGCACACGCACAAACCGAGATCCTGGGGATGAGGGTTGAGAGTAGAGTGAGCCTTCTTACACCGGCCTCAAACACAGCCCACTTCACTACAGCCCTTCGCCATTTTGGTTTCCCGCGGACTGCCGGTGCATTCTGGGAGCGCGGAGCGACTCCGGTGCCGAATGGCAGCTCTCCAGAGCTGCGAGGGGGCGGGGACTGTGCAGCGAGCGCGGAAGAACACCGCGCTCTGCGTCTCTGGCCGCAGCTGAACAAAGAAGGACTCTTTAACGTAGCGGTGGGGCTAAGTCCTTCCGCCGCCGGCGCTAACACAATAGTGATCGCTGCTCTCCTGGCCGACGGAGGAGTTAGTGCTGTTTCTCTTAAAAAGGAAGGCGTCGTGTCCAGTCTGCGCTATGCTTTTTTTTTTCCGGAAAAATGCGACAGTGCTCTCTACATCTTGTCTTGCTGATTGACTTGCATTACCTTAGATAAAGCACGTTTCTTCTATCTTCACCTTGAGGCCTGCTGTTCGAATTTCCTTCAGCGAGGAGACCCTGGATGTCAGAATTAAATTTTGCTCTGCGATTATTATCCAGTCCCAAATTCCTTATCAGGAGCTCCTTGCATAGAAGATTTTCGGACATTTTATTCCTTGACAGTGAAAGGTTTTTCTGTGTATCTGCTTTGCAGTCATTCCTAATTGTAATGAAATCTGAGAATAACCCCGTGCAAGGTGATTTATTTTAGGAATACAGAACTTTTTTCATATTAGGGCAGACCCTTAGCCTGCCAATATACTGCTGCAGACCGGAAGTCCAAGTGACAAACTGGAAGTGCATGCTTGTCTCTGACTTATGCTTAGATACAACCCAACTCCTCTTATAGCCACCTGGGGTACCTTTGTTTATAACTTTGTCAAAATATTTTTTAAATTATTTTATGGTTTTGTCTCATTACATAACAGAGATAATTAATACAATGATAAATTAATACATGTTTTTTTCTCTCTGAAAAAGTACGTCTTGGGCCTAAACTCACTTTGTTCATATTTCAAAAGGGATTCCCCAGCCCATAATCTCAGAATTTGGCCAATAAATATTCATTCTATCCACACCTTTCAAAATTTTAAATAATTTAGTCATACTCTTCCACTCCTTTGCTTCTCCTAATAATTCTAATCGAATTTAATTCTGTCTTACTATGTTCTCTATCTGCTACCTTGCAAGTTCCACTTTCTCTGAATTCTATTATAAAGTAGTTTCTCATAAATTCCTCTTCCATGCCCTTAATACTTTTGATTGAGAAGAGTTTTGACTTAAAAAAAGTAGATACAGTCCAAAAATTGATAAAGATATTACACAAACAGTTATATTTGCTGTGCAGCAAAGCCTAATCATAGAACATAAGTTCTGGAGAACATTTGGTCTAAGTTCTCCTCAGTGTTTCTCTCAAGGGGTGATCAAGCCACAACTTCAACATCTTCAGTAGTTCAAAACTCAGAGAGAGTCATTTCAATTTCATAAATGCTAGTAATTAGAAAATTCTTCCATCTATAAATGTACAATCTGCCTTCTTATGATTCCCATTTACTGGTCTAACTTTTGTCCTCTTTAGCTACATGAAAGTATTCTAATCCCTATACATTACAGAAGCAAGGATGCCTATTAAAAAAAAAGCTTGTCGTTTTTCTTTTTAAACACACAGATGCAAAAGTGCATCAATTTAATTTAAGGAAACCAGGTGCTCAGGGTATCATAGGCACTGACGGAGTCACAGTAAAATATAAAGAACACCCATAACTGGGGGCTTAGAAATTTCAGTTAACTAAGCAACATGCAATAGAGTAGGACTTTATGTAGATGTGGGTATTATCTAGGTGTATCTGTGGGACGAGGTGAGCCTAGGATCCTCTTCTGCCATCTTCCCCAGAAATCTTGGATTAGGACTTTAAAAAGAAATAAATGTCAAATTTACTGTTGTTATTTATTTATATCATAGTTAGGATTGTTCTGGTTCTCCTCTCTTCCAGACACAGTAAAATTGCACTTCTTGCTTCCTTGAAGTTAGGCATGGCCATGTATCTTGCTTTTACCAATAAAATGGGAGGAGAGTGATGTGTATCATTTCCCAGGACAAGCTTTAAGAGGCAGAGGCACATTCCCTTCCCCCCTGTTGTGGTGATGATGGAATCATGTGTTAAAATAGAACATCTATCACTTCGGGTCCCTAAATGACTACAATAAGCCGAAACTAGAGTTGTGCAACCATCACAATCTAGTTTTAAAACATTTCTACCACCCCAAAAATATTCATTTTGCCCATTTGTAATCAATCACTGTTCCCATTCCCAACCCCAGGCAATGTTATCTGTCTCTGTAGATTTGTCTTTTCTAGTCATTTTATGTAAATGGACTCCTATAATATATAGTCTTTTGATCTGGCTTGTTTCACTCATCACAATGTTTTTGAGGCCCATCCATGTTGTACCACATGTCTGTAGTTCTTTCCTTTGTATTGCTGAATAGTGTTCCATTGTATGAATGTACTATATTTTGCTTTATCCTCTCACCAGCTGATGCACATTTGAATTATTTCCAATTTTTGGCTGAGTAATGCTGCTGTGAAAATTTGTGTACAAGTCTTTGTGTAGATACTTGTTTTTATTTTTCTTGGATAGACTCCTAGGAGTGGAATTGCTGTGTTGTATGATACATTTATGTTTAACTTTTTAAGATAACATGTAAGCAATGCATGAGGGTTTCAACTTCTCCACATCATCATCAATACTTGATATAGTCTGTCTTATTTAAATTGAAGGTTAAGTTATTTAACTTTCTGCCATGACCTAACTATACTATCTTCAACCTAGGAAAACCATTCCCCAGTCAAATGTATGATTTATCCTACCTCTGAGGAGATTTCTTACAGACTCTGTCATCGTTTACTAACAGAACTCAGAGTCCCCCTTCTCTCTGTCTCTCTGTCTCTCTCTCTCCCTCCCTTCTTTACTCCCTAAATGCTGAATGAATGTCATCTTGTTTTTTGGTTATGTTTCTATCTATACAAAAAATCAAAGAACAATTGTCTCCAGTGGGAGTGAAGTGGTTTCTCATTGTGATTTCAATTTTTATTTCCCTAATGGCTAACGATGTTGAGCATCTTTTCATGTACTGATTAGCTAGCCATTCTTATATCTTTGGTAAAGCATACATTCAAATCTTTTACCCATTTTTTAACTGGACTGTTTGTCTTCTTATTATCAAGTCGTAAGGTCTTTACATAGCCTGGGTACGAGTCTTTTACCAGATACATGATTTGCAAATATTTGCTCCCACTCTACGATTTGTCTTTTCATTTTCTTAATGGTGGTATCTTTTGAAGCTCAAAAAAAATTTTTTTTAAATTTTGATTAAATACAATTTATCTTTTTTTAAAAGCCATATGCTTTAGATGTTATATCTTAGAACTCTTTGCCTGACCCAAGATCATAAACATTTTCTATTATGTCTTTTCTAGAAGTTTTATAAGTTAGCTCTTACATAGTTTAGGATTCATTTGAGTTAATTTTTGTGTACACTATGAGGTATGGGTCTATATTCATCTTTTTGCATATGCATACTCAATAGGAGGAAATAAAATTTTGTTGTATTAAGCCACTGCAATTTGGAATTGTCTGCCATCCAGCATATTTTTTTATGTATCACTTATTCGGACTGATAAAACCTAGATATGTTAATATGGAACAGAACTCAGTAATAACATTAAACTCTCTACCACAATCAGAACCCAAAATAAAAAACATGAAAATTTGAGCAGAATATTCAAAACATTACATAATTCTCAATATTTAACATTGAAAAGTCACAGGGAATGTTATAAAATACTTTATTTATAAACCTAAAAGCTCCCAATTATTAGCTATTACTCTCTCATAGGAAAGGGCTAGAAGACCTTCAACATTGTTCATTGTGCAGAGGTAGAAATGCAAATCATCAGACAAGTCAGAGAGTGTGTCCTCGTAGTTTGCTTTCATAAGTCTAGAAAGGGAAGTAGAACTGAAACAGCAAAAGAAAAATGAATGGTTCCATAATAATCAAATCAAAAGGATTTGTTAAAATCCCTTTTCTTTTTTCTTTTTTTTTAAATTTTATTTTATTATGTTATGTTAGTCACCATACAGTACATCATTGGTTTTTGATGTGGTGTTCTATGATTCATTGTTTGCGTATAACACCCAGTGCTCCATGCGATATGTGCCCTCCTTAATACCCATCACCAGTCTAACCCATCCCCCCACTCCCCTCTCCTCTAAAACCCTCAGTTTGTTTCTCAGAGTTCATAGTCTCTCATGGTTCGTCTCCCCTTCTGATTCCCCCCCTTCATTTTTCCCTTCCTACTATCTTCTTCTTCTTTTTTAACATGTAATGTATTATTTGTTTCAGAGGTACAGGTCTGTGATTCAGCAGTCTTACACAATTCACAGCGCTCACCATAGCACATACCCTCCCCAATATCCATCACCCAGCCTCCCCATCCCTCCCACCCCCCACCACTCCAGCATCCCTCAGTTTGTTTCCTGAGATTAAGAGTCTCTTATGGTTTGTCTCCCTCTCTGGTTTTATCTTGTTTCATTTTTCCTCCCTTCCCCTATGATCCTCTGTCTTGTTTCTCAAATTCCTCATATCAGTGAGATCATATGATACTTGTCTCTGATTGACTCACTTCACTTAGCATAATACCCTCTAGTTCCATCCACGTCATTGCAAATGTCAAGATTTCAGGTTTTTGATGGCTGCTTAATATTCCAGTGTGTGTGTGTGTGTGCGTGCGTATGTACCACATCTTCTTTATCCATTCATCTGTTGATGGACATCTTGGCTCTTTCCATAGTTTGGCTATTGTGGACATTGCTGCTATAAACATTGGGGTGCACTTACCCCTTTGGATCTCTACATTTGTATCTTTGGGGTAAATACCCAGTAGTGCAATTGCTGGGTCGTAGGGTAGCTCTATTTTTAACTTTTTGAGGAACCTCCATACTGTTTCCCAGAGTGGCTGCACCAGCTTGCATTCCCACCAACAGTGTAGGAGGGTTCCCCTTTCTCCGCATCCTTGCCAACGTCTGTCATTTCCTGACTTGTTAATTTTAGCCATTCTGACTGGTGTGA